CAAACAGAAAAAATACGCCACTCTTCAGAATCCTTTATATTCAATACATTAATTCATTAGTCGATAAAATAGCGTAAATTAAAAAAAGATGAACAGTAAAAATGAGACAAAGATTAACGTAACGGTAAAACGGCTATAGCTTCTTTTCTAACGAACTCTAGAATATGAGGTAGGTCTCGTCACTGACGTGAGCAGCCGATGTAGATGGTAAACGGTTTTATATGGACTTAGCCTGTCCATCGATGCCGAAAACATCCCTCTCCAGTAGTATTTCTAGTGTAAGGACATTCAGACCCCATTTTTTCTCAATATTATATATACTATTTTGTAGCCCCTACAATTCTCTATCGAATGATATATAAAGTGGCCTGGTTAACGATAAACTGGCTGGACACTGTAAGCGAGGAACGCTGTTGACCTATCGATTTGTGAAGATCGGGCTAGTGTTTCTACTGTTATGACACTAGGACCCCATTTGTTCTCAGTAATATATATATTATTTTGTAGCCCCTGCAATTCTCTATTGAATGATATACAGTAGTTGAGGTTTGCTTTGGGGAAAGGGAAGAAATGGGTAAAATACTCTAAATAAAGTTCAATTAAGGGGAGAAAAGTTTGGATGCGGAATTTTTTCCAGGAGGCGGGGGTGAAAATGGTTTTTTTGAGGTGCTAGTTTTAATCACGGAGAAAAACTACATCAGACTTGTGAATATGAGCTTGATCTGAGAGGGGGCCAATTTTGCCTCTTATCGTATTTTGCCCGTCCTTTTTGTAATATTTTTTCTACAGTGAAAGGTGTGTTTCGATAAACCATGCCATGTGAACACGCATTGCATATCACATACGTTGAATTTTATGATAATGTTTGGTTATATGCTAAACCTTGCAAATAATATTATCGGTTTGTCAACTTCAATTGTCTTTATGTGTCACTTGACTCTTCAAGATTTCGAGAAGCACATGTGGCATTGATGGTATTTTCATTTTAAACGACTAGCACAGGAGTGGTAACTTTGGTAACAGATCGTTTTTACGGCCCGGTCCGGTCCGACCTGGAGTGAACGCATACATTTTTCGAAGCGGCCCCTACGGGCCGGGTCAAATGCATTCTACATTATACGAACCGCCCCGCGGGATAGCCCGTAGATTTTTCGCGTTTCATTTTCAAGAGAAGATAGTGTCTTTTCTCACATTTAATATGAGTGTGGCCTTTCGATGTTGTCTTGCAATTTTATCTACTTTTTGGGAAAAAGACTGGACTCGCATGCGGGCCATCAAATTGCAGCCCAGTCCGATCCGGCCCGTAGGCCTCCATGAGTTTTCCCGGCACGTAATGATCTCTGTTTGGTAATATAGTTTTGAAAGTAGTAAAACAGAAAATTATAAGCAAAGTTGCAAATTCTCAGATAATCTTGAAATTTATCAGCTCTCAGAACTTTTCAAAGAACCCTGACTTCCTAATTTCCTGCTTTCCTAACTGTCTGCTTTCTTGACTTCCTAGTTTTCTACTTTTACGTTAAGTGTCCACTTGTTGCTCTAGTTTTATAATTTGGAACTTTTTAGTTTGCCGCAAATTTTGCAAATTAGCTTCCACAGCAATTTGCAGCAAACGCAAATTCTGCATCCTGTGTCCTCCGACTGATCTTCCCCGCGTTTAGTTTCTTCTCGTTAAATATATAACTTAGTGTCTTGATACTAATAACGAATAATCCCGATTGATGTCTGTATCTGGTTTTTTTCCAATATACCATATGAATCCAGAATTCATTTCTGGTATGAACGCTGAGGGCTATTAAAGTTTTGACCTGATCTTATTAGCAAAGACCCTGACTTCCCCTCGAGATGCAGTGTACATCTATGCAGACATTTGACAAAAAATTGAAAGTGTACCTTTCCAGATTTTAAGAAAACGAAATAAATTTCGAGACATGCGCTGTTGAATGGTATAAAGTTTTTGTTTCGACTAGTATGGATCGTGGGAAAACACTAGCTAAAAGTTAGCCTGAAAGTTACAGGAGTAAGATAAAATTCTGTTTGTGTTAGATCCACTGAATTGGAAGGTTCTAAGCCTAGACTCTCTTAGATGTCCATCAGAAGAAGCTTTCAGAATCTCCGGAAAAGTTTTGTTTCCAAAATTTGTTTTCCGATCAGACATCTTTAGTTTAATGAGCGCCCACGTTTTAAACTTGCTCAAACTTTGTACATAAGTTCTCCCATCTGTAATATGTCTACACGGATAGCACAAATGAACTAACTACAAGACCGCCCAACGGGCTTTTCAAAAATTCTTACTTTTCCAGAAAAATCCACTTTTCTCAGTCCAGGAATATTTGTATTAAAAGCTGAGGTTATATTCACAATTAGCGCGACTTTCTAAACATTTTCTAAGATATTTTTCCTAGTCAAAAATTTCACTTGCAGGGCCCTTATGCCTTTTCAATCAAAAACCAAAAGGTTTTAGAATAAGATTTTTGTTGCATACTATTTTCAGAGTGAAGAGCAGTCATTTCCGATGATAAAAAACTTCATGTATGCCTAAACAAAGCTCTGCATTCCAGACTAGAAGGTTATGGTCTTTATTATGGCTTGGCACATCGAAGTTTTTTACGAAAAAATCGTGCTACGATGATTTTGAAAAAAATTCGCTCGAAGCCGATTTTCTAATATAGGGTAGCCTACTAACTGAGGAGAAGTTAGTCAAGACCTTGCAAGAAACAAAAATCAGTAACGAATTGGAAAAGATCTTGACAAGAAATATAAAAAGTGCTTCCACTAGGGCTATGCTGTCGCTATTCTTTGCCATGTTTTTAAATGATGGCACAGCATATGAATATGACATTAAAACTATCCCGTAAAGTGTACCGTTTTCGTCCTATTCCATCACCGTTAAAAAACAAGCATTAGACAAGATCTGCTTAGATAATCAAAAATTTGAACTCTGCTTTTGAGCTAATGAAATAAAGCAGCGCTGATGAATAACAGAGACGTGACTACTAATATGTGCGTAGTAGCCGTTTGTTCAACCGTAGCCCTATTCTGTAGCACCGGAATCCTGGTCCTACCTATATTGTTCTTTGATACTTTGAATATATGCCAAAGAAATTTTAACGAGATTCAACACTGAGGCGATTCTGAGTTCGACAGAAAATTCGTCCTGCAACATTTGAGTTTTACGTGTAAGAATATACGTCAAAGTAATGTTACTTTGATTAAAACTATCTTGCTTTGAATTTGAAAGGTTTCATAACGTATGGCGGCTTCATTCAATTCTATTATTTTGAATGAAAAGAAATCTACATTCAAATAAAAACAACGAAATTTTTGATTTTTACAAAGCAAAAAGGCCATAACGATAATATTATGATGTTAAAAGTAACTCGTATAATGGTAAGTTTTCAACAATATCTAAAGCTCAAAAACCAACCGTTGTAACAAAACTGACTAGAAGTCGAAAATTTTTCACGAGAAACAATTATATTGCTTTATACGTAGAATTTTAAAACGCTTATTTCTTATAGTCTGTCTAAGCACTAAACCAGATCATAGTACGTGAATAGAACGATAGAAAGAAAAGAAAATTGATATCCGTTTTTTTTACGCCAAATCTAAATTTCATAACTGCTTTAGTTGCACAGATAAAGTCATGCATTGATCAGGTTGTCTAGTACAATAAAATTCATCACTTTTATTTCTTTTAGAATGAACTAATAAACTTTAGCGTTCAACATTCACTAGTGCAATGAATTGTCTTGTTTTGAGAGATTAGTCAAGACTCTTCAAGAAGCAAAACACCAATAACCAAATGGGAGAGATCCGCGCAGAAACTGTTTTAAAACTAGCGCTTTTAATATTATTATAGGAACCAGTTAAGTTTGCCAAGATAAGCAAACTCTAGCTACAACTAAGAATTGGCACATTTTAAAACAGTTATCGAGTTACTTGAATAAATAAAAAAGAAGCTTCTATAATCCATGCTCTAGTGAAACTTCTTGTACCCAAGATCTTGGGGTAAGAAATGTCACAAGATCTTGGATTCTTGAATCTGTCACTCAAGATGTTGTAAGAGCTTGAGTGACAAATTTTCTTTACATTTTGTTTTTATGTATGACAGTCGTAGTCATTGGATATACGACCATATAGAGTCATAGATTCGTCCTTAAACAATTATGGTCAAGAAATTAGATGTTCAAGATCTTGACTGCTTGAAATTTCTTGAATTCTTATATTTTCTTACCAAGATCTTGAATCAAGATCTTACTGAAAAAATTCAAGAAGTCAAGATCTCTGTTACAAGAAGTTTCACTAGGACAACCAACGATAGTCTAATATCTCGTAGCGCTAGCTTTAGCTGCTGTGTAACTTAAATGCAATTATAGACAGAAAGAACATTGCACATAAACAAATAATTTTTATAAGTTATTGTAATATCTGTGGGAATTCAATTTTTCTAACATTTTTCAGTGCATTGTCTTATTTTAACGAAATTTGAAAGCAAACGTCTTTAAGTAGTTTTTATTTGATTTTATCCATTACTTTCAGCATTTTTCTTTTTTCACAGACATCACGTTTTTCTCCACTTTTTTAATGTAGAATGAAAGAAAAGAAAATTGATATCCGTTGTCTTTTACGCCAAATCTAAAGTTCATAACTGCTTTAGTTAAACAGATAAAGTCATGCATTGATCGGGTTGTCTAGTACAATAAAATTCATCACCTTTATCTTTTAGAATGAACTAATAAACTTTAGCGTTCAACATACTCCATTCACTAGTGCAATGAAATTGTCGTTTTTTTAATGCCTTAATTCATTGCCTTTCATCAGATTACACTGTGTCTAATAGCAAGATTTGAGAATTTAAACAACACTAAATGTCTGACTACAGAAGAAGCAGTTACCCGCGTCGAACCGCTGCTACTCCTGATCAGCATCGTCAACCACTCACTTACGGAAATAATTCTCAACGTCGAAGATCACAGAATACCAAGGTGAACAACACAAACATGAGCAGACGAATGTCTCGCAGAACTGATACACCTGGTTCAATGTCAAAGAGTATGTTTCATGGAAAATGTGTTATATTTAATACAAAAAAAACATGTTTTTGTTATTTCAGATCGAAAACGCTCTTCAGGACGACTCTATGGTAAAGACAGACGGCCTAGTCAACAAATTTCAAATCGTGATAGAGAACTAATTGAAATTGACCAAGGAGACAGCTCGGTAAGTGGTTGGGTTTTTCTGTTGAACCGAAAGAACATTAAAATTTGAAGATAAATTTAGAGCTGGAGTAAGAAAACCGGATGTTTAGGTTTATCTTATTTACGTTCTGTTCTATTGTTTGGCTCGGTGATTTTATTAGGTATCCTTGCCATCGGCGGCTTATTTGTATCTGTAATACTTTACCTTCAAAGTAAGCCATAATAATTTTAAGATCAAAAGATCTTTTATGAGATGTGAGAATATGTAGATTTCAAGATTTTACGAATAGGAACAATTTTGTGTACTCTTTTTAGGTAGTGATGTTGATGCTGTGTGGAAAATATTTGGTATTGTGATTTGTGCCACTGTTTTGTTAACTATCGCTATAGTTGTCCTGTGTTTAGTCATTTTCTACTATAAAAAGGATGCAATCTCAGATCATGACTCTGATAGCGAAGTGGAAGATCAAGACAAGTCAGATATTATAGAAAATCAAACTGAACCTTACTTAAACGGTTCTGATACAAATCGAAAAAATGCTAGTCGCAATCCAACCTATTGGAAAAATCACAATAACCAAACTGATGCAAATCGTCCATATTCAAACGACTATAATTATCCCTATAATAAACCCAATCATCAATATTCTAACGGTGAAAATACCTCTACATCGTCATCTAATGATGGACGAGGAACTCCACGAAGATTCTCGACCGGGGTAAGAAATAAACAAACAAATACTGAATCATTACCAACCACTATGGGATCGTGGCCGAGACAAGAACAGTCATTTCAACAGCAACATCAACCACCCCTACAAGTTCAACCTCAACAACAACAACAAAAACAACTCGTTTATTCAACAAATGTCATGCCTCGACCAATAATTGTTCAAGTTCTCGATAAACAAAATCAGCGTCAATTACCTCAACATACTCTAGTATCGACATTTGAAATTCAGCCACCCCAAACACATCAACTTATTCACTACATTCCTACGACTTATCAGCAACAGCAAACAAAACAAACTGTACCCGCCATCAACTTCGTGGAGCAAGAACAAATGTCTCGATCACCCGTTCAGACGATTGTGTCAGCTCAAGAATTCTATGAATTAGATAAATTCTATTAGGAAAATCATCGAACGGATGTAACTTCAAGAAAAACAGATCATGTTAACAGATTGAGAAAGACTACCCTTCAGAGACGTACTTTAAGTTTGTTTACCTACTTGTACGAAGAATTTAATGTCGAAAATCGGATCATAGAACTTTCGCATTAATTGGGTTTACGACATGTGCTCGAATGAAGTTTTCTCGTACAGAATTTCCCGAATGGAAACCTCCTCGGATTTTCCAAACACAAATTATCAATATTACTAGGAGTGTATAGAACCTCCTCAAATTTTCGGTTATATATGTTTGCACCAGTTTATAAAAGAAAATAAGGTTATTACTCATTTTGAAAGTCACTTTGATAATTCATAAATTTTTTGTTTTAATAAAGCAGTTTCATTGATAGATAACTGAGATAGGTTCAGTTGTCTTGTTGGCATTTATCTGGAGCTCAAATAATTTGTTGTGTTCATCTCTAATGTTTCTCTTGTTCTATAGAACAAGAGAAACATTAAAGATGAAGCTACAGATAGATACCAATAAGACAATTGAACCTGTCTCAGTTATCTATCGATGAAACTGCTTTATTTGAAACTAGGCACTGGTATCGGTATCCATACCGAAATACCGATGCCGCAAATACTGAACTTCGGTATATACCGATACCGAAATTCCGACTTTTTTCGATTTTTCCATCTGAAATGAGATAGTTTAGCGTCATGGACAGTCAGAACACAAAAAACACTCAGCTGTGTATTCTGAGCATGCGTAGATAGAAAATAAAGGAAAACTTTGGCCTTAGAAAGTAAGAAAAGCTCTTGTTTTGCATCCCTGACTCTTTTTAGTTGTACAGGATGCTAAACTATCTCATTTCAGATCGAAAAATATAAAAATGTCCAAATCGAAAAAAGTCGGTATTTTCGGTATTCAGCATACCGATACTGTTGCATACCTATTTGAAACATAAAATTTATATATTATCAAAGCGATTTTTAAAATGAGTGATAGCCTTATTTTATTTTATAAACCGGTGCAAACATATATAACTGAAAATTTGAGGAGGTTTTCATTCGATGAAATTCTATTCGAGAAAACTTTATTCGAGCAAGTTATTCTCGAGATTATCACTTTCGAGTAAATTTCATTCTCGCAGATTCTCCCAATCCATTAATTCGTTGATACTCGTCGATGAGAAGACTGAAAGCAAGATTTATATGAGTCAAGAAAGAGTACCTCTTCTAGACTGTAAAAAATAAAATGTGTAATTGAATCACGCGACGTGATTCCCAGTGACCGTCTAGAATGCACGGCGTACGTGTGTAAAGTACACACTGAGAAGTGCCCATCTGGCTCTACGCACTGAGACTAATGATATAGTCTATTTGTCTAAAATATGTGTGCTGGAGATGTCTCAGATTCATCAATCGATTGTTCAAATCTATCACATGACGATGTTGTTTTTCACTTTTTTCTCTTATCCGTTTTTCCTGGAAACGACAGTATATATACTTTCGAAGATGGTAATCATGATTCTGAAATTATTTTTTCACTTGATGCAGTAGTTCGAGAGAAAAATAGAAAATAATAAATTTTTTTAACGCACGTAGCCCTTTACATACTGAGATTGACCATCTAGAGAAGGTATGCACTTTTCGGTGTTGAATGAACGTTTAGAAGATTTACACACCTAGTCACACACTTTGTTTTTTACAGTATACTTCCTGTTTCACACGGATGTGACTTGGATGACCGAGCCAAAGATAGTAAAACATGCGCAAAGCAATAGCAACCAATCGGAATATTCCAAATCAGAAGTTGTGCTGAATTACAGTTGTTACTGACAGTCTCTATCCTTTGAATAATCTGTTCGGTGTGACCAGCTTACTCTGCTACTGTAGAGGATTCCGCAACGTTTTTTATTCATTTTGTTATGTCGATATATGCCAAACCAAGCCACGCAGGGAGTCGCGAGACGTCTTCAGTTGAAGAGAAAAGTCTCATGAACATTTTGAGATGCATCTGCACTCTAGAAAATCTCTTTCTGCAGATCTTAATGTGTTTTTTTTACGGGATACAATCACCGAAAGGACAAATGCATTCTGGACGTGAACTCTCAGATACTTCAGACTGACTTCGTGAGTCCAGAACCGTCTTTAACATCGTAGCTTCTGCTCTGATAGTTTTATGTCATATTTCTATCCTTTCCCATGAAGTCAATCCGGTCATAAATCTGGTATTGTTTTGTCCCATTTTTCAAAGCAACATGAATTCAGATTGTTGTTGTAGTCGTTGATACAAATGTTCCCCAAAATCATCGAATGTCTAATAAAACGAGCTACGAGCACATCTCACGGGGAAACATTTATACTAAACCTTAACAAGCCGCTGGCATATTAGCCAGTGAAATTGTATTATTAAAAATGACTAATTTCACCTACTATTTCGATGCAGCTGGCTACAAAGTCGAATAAGTAATAAATTAGAAGAAAGAAGCGAGAAAACACAGTACGCAATTCAAAAAAGCTGACGAATAATGGAAATACAGTACTCATTCAAAACGAAGAGCAAATATTTATTCATCATCACGGCAGGCAGCCGATATATCGTCAATGAGATCCATTTTTAGCCGCACAGCTAGCGACAGTCTAGATTACTAGTTAAAAATAATACTTTTAACTAGATGCAGTCTGTCTGTGAATTACTCGAGTGGCACACAGACCCTAGACGAACATTTTTCGTTATTTTTGGTAAGAAACTTATCCGAGTCTTATCGGATTCTTACATAAGAAGTTCGAATGAAAATGGCAAGAATTTCGTACGAATCCAACAAGAATCAGGTAAGATTTAAATAAGAACGAGCTATGACTTTGATAAGACGCTGCTGTCACTTCCTTATGAATTTCTTACTAGCCAGATACCGTTTTATTTTGCAGAAGCACATACTATATAAGCATCGCTGATTTATTGCGTTTCTTCAAGGTAGATAAGCAAGGAGGAAACAGCAGATTTTGTGGCTCTTGTAATATGGACTCCATTCCACAAGCAATCAATTTTTTTCAAATTTTATTGTACTCCTGGAGACTCTTTGGTATTCTTCGTGACCTCGCTGAGCCCGAAGAATTTTCCTGACTGTTTTTAAATTTTCCCACATTTTTTCCGCTTAGCTCCATTTTAAGTCATTTTTACAGATTTTCGAGATTTCATCGGATTCTAATCCCTTTTTTCGATTTTTTTTGTACTCCCAGGGATTCCTCCAGTTCTCGAACTTTGGGAAGTTTGTATAGGATTCTCCAGGTTTCTGTATGTCTGAAAGCCCACAGCTGCTAGGAATTCTGTTGTTTCCCCCTTGTACTCTCTAAAAAAACACGAATTTTAAAAAACCAAAAGGGTATTTCGTCTTTTCCATGAAACCGATTTTGATTTTATATGAGATGCAAAAACCAAAATTGGTATTCCGACTGCTGCTAAACAGTACTCTAAGGAACCAAAGGGTATTTTAATTTAAAAAAGGATATTTCACCTTCACAAATACCCTTAGAACGTATTTCATTTCTGTCAGGATATCAAAAAGGATTTAGTAGGTTACGAGCGATTGGTATTCCAAAGTGCCAAAATGGTTAATCCTTATATTTTACGCCTGTTTTCATCATCAAATGATTTTCTAGCCATGAATTAACCAAATAAATGCATTTGCAAAATTTTGGCAAAATTTACAGTATTAACTGGTCCTTGGATATAATTCTCGTAGATTTCCATTACAGATACTTTTTTGTTTTTAAGAACTTTGAAAGAATTGCGCGAAGTTTTGATGTTTTTGAGTCTCCCTTTCTTTTTGATCATTGAGAACCGATTGAGTTGCACTGAAAATTTTAAATTGTGCAGGACAATCCGAAATACTGCCTGATATTTGAAGAGAAAGTAACGTAAGTAATGTCTCTCCTTATTTGTCCACAAGACGCCTCATAAACAATGCAAAAGTATGATATTCGGCTAGAGCACAATTTTTTACCTATTTGGAGTGAAAGCAGAACATTTTTAATGCTTTCTCTTCAAAAAATTCAACTTTTTCAAATATACTTTCAACACTTTTTTTAAAGTCATACTCATCTCAGATAATCTCTAAAAGCGGCCAGCTTATTCTCCGAGCCTCGACGCGAGTTTTTAACATCCTTTCTGGCATTAACGAGTCATAGCAGATTCTTATAAGTTCCTTATCAACTTTCTGTCGGATTCCTTTGTAAGAATCGGTCACTAGGAGACTGCATCCAGATTTTTCCCATATTTTTAACTTTTGCTTCGTTAGGTCTCTGATGTTCACTGTAATGTGAGGCTTCTTGTTTCAACACTTGTACATGAATCTTACATGGATTCAGTTATGTAGCAGACCATTCTATGTGAATAATACACATTTGATAAAGTTTATTATTCCAATTTTTTTAGGCGGAAAAGTCGTCGACCCATTCGGCAAACTATAGTAGTCATTAGGTTGTTTTTTGTATCCTTTCATCTGAACTACAAAACTTTCTTCTACAATGCATATTTCTAATTGAGAAAACATAGTTAAATAAGTTTTTCAAGAGCTATATGTTAAATAGGGTGCAAATTAGGGGTGTTACTTTAGTTTTATTGTTCATTTATAATAAAGGATAAATGTAAATGAATCATTTATACTTAAAAAATAAAGATAAGTTCGTCATTTATATTTATTTCTTTATTTCTACCTTTATTTTTAAAAGTAAAGGGAGAAATAAAGAAATAAATATAAATGAATCATTTACTTTTACAAAATAAAGATAAATTTTTTTTTCATTTATTTATATTTATTTTTTAAATATAAATGACGAATTTATCTTTATTTTTTTAAGTATAAATGATTCATTTACATTTATTTTCTAAAGTAAGACTAAATTAACACCCCTAGTGCAAATACTGAGTTTCAAGATCTTCTAGCTTCAAGAATCAAATGAAACTTTTTTTTAAAAGAAAACATTCTATCATTTCATAGTCTTTCTGTACA